TTTGCCACTGAGCTAAATCCCCAGCCCCTGTTTTTAATTTTTTGAAGAACTTCCATACTGACTTCTCCCCAGTGGTTGTACCAGTTCACATTCTCCCCAACAATGTGGAAGGGTTCATTTTCCCTACAGCTTTGCCAGCATTTGTGCCTTTTTGGGTTCTTGATAATCGCCTTTTTTTCTGGACTAAGATGAAATCTTAGTATTATTTTAATTTGCATTTCCCCAATGGCCAAAGATGCCAAACATGTTTTCATGTACCTATTGGCCATTTGTACTTCATTTTAGAATTGCTTATTTGTTTAAACTGAACATATTTGGGCTAGGTTTTTGTTCATTTGGAGACAGTCTAGTATTTTTGAGTCCTAGGTATAAATGATGCTGGGAAAACTGGTTATCTACACGCAGATGATTGAATCTAGACTCATGTTACCACTAAAATCAAAATTGTTCAAAGATCTAAATGTTAAAACAGAAACACTTCATCTGCTGGGAAATAAAATAGGTAAAATTCTTGAAGACATAGGCGTAAGCAATGATTTTCTGAACCGAACCACAGCTTTACAAGAAATAACATCAAGAATCAACAAATGGGATCATATCAAATTAAAAAGCATCAATGGTTAATATATTGCATATTGTTATCGTCAAAGTAGCTGCTCAGAGTTCAAGATATTATCTTCTTCTGAAATTCTGTTTCATTGTTTTTTCTCTATAAAATAAAATTTTTAAAAAGCTTCTTCACAGAAACAACCAACACAGTGAAAAGACAATCTGCAGAATGGGAAAAAATTTTGCCAGCCATTCCTTGGTCAGGGGACTAATATCTAGAATATATAAAGAACTCAAAAATTAACTTCCCCAAATAAATAAACCAACCAAAACACGGGCAACTGAAATGAACTGACACTTTTCAGAAGTGTAAATGGCCAATAAATCCATAAAAAATGTTCAACAGCTCTGTTCATTAGAGAAACGCAAATTAAAAATAGTGAGATTTCATCTTAGTTCAGAAAGAATGGCTATCATCACCAATTCAAATAATAAGAAGCTCTGACAAAGCTGTGGAGAAAGAGGAGTTCTTTTACATTGTGGGTGGGAAGGAAAACTAGTACCATCATTATGGAAATCAGTAGGGAAATTCCTCAAAGAACTAAAACCAGACATTCTATTTGACCCAGCTATTTCCCTGCTAGGTATCTTTCTGAAAGAGTTAAAGACATCAGATTACAACTGGACATGAATATTCATGTTTTCAGAAGTACAATTCATAACAGCTAAATCTTGGAAGTGGCTTATATAGGCATCAACAGATAAATGGATAAAGAAACTGATATTTATATACAATGGGATACTCCTCTGCCATAAAGAAGGATACACATAAGTCATTTGTAGGAAAATGGATGAACCTTGAAACCATCATGTTAGATGAAATAAATCAAACACACAAGCTTAAATATTACATGATTTGTCTTACCTGAGAAGCCCAAAATGTAACTAAAGGACAAAATAAAGGATAGGTAATAAGAAATAAGAAGAGAGATCTTTTTCAGATTGGAAGGGGACTAAGAGATGGAGGAAAGAGGGAAGGAGGGGAGGAAAGGGGATGAAAAAGAAATAAAATATGGAGTGTACATGTCCCACCTCCCCACAGGAAATGTAATCATTATGTACTTCAAACATATCAACGAGAATGAAAATGCGGAAAGGGGATCTAGAGGAGGAGGGAGGGGAGGGGGAAGGGGATTAAAAAAAGACACAAGCTGTGTTATGTACACATACTCACTCCCAAAGAGGACTACACTGCATGTATTGCAAAGGTACTAATAATAAAATAAAATTAAGAAGAAATTAAAATAGCCCTTCTTTTCAGGATGGGTGATGATTTTAAAAAAAGGAGAAATTAACAGTGGAATTTCACGTTATTCATGAACCATTTCTGGGAATCACAAACCTTATCCAGGGCCACTTGAACCACTGCTTCGCTTTCTGTATCCAGGGCTGACGTGGCCTCGTCCAGCAGCAGGATCTTGGGGTTTCGCACCAGGGCACGTGCGATGGCGATTCTCTGCTTCTGTCCACCACTCAGCTGGGCCCCTCTCTCTCCAACCAGAGTGTCAAACTTCTACAGCAGAAAAATCACAAGACGACTGAGCAAAGAGTTTAAAGTTGGGAAGCAATGTAACAAACCACCCAAATCTCACAGGCACTACAATCTAGATTTTTAAATTCAGCAATAACTAACTCCAAGTTTTAAATATGTGTGTCTACACCTAGTTGATAGTTGCAGAGCTTTACAATCCAATGTAAGCTTGATTTCTATTCCTAACTTCCTATGCACTGCACTGGGCCAGAGATCCATGATGCTTTGCAGTTCTTTATTTTATTTTATTTATTTATTTATTTATTTATTTATTTATTTATTTATTTATTTATTTTCTGGTACCGGAAATGGAACTCACAACCTTGCGCTCGCAGGCAGGCACTGTGCCACAGAGCTAAATCCCCAGCCCCGATGCTTTGCAGTTCTGAATGGCAGAGGACAGGAACCACTCACATGAGGCAGTTTCATGATGAAGTCATAAGCATTGGCTTCCTTGACAGCTTTCTCAATCTCATCCATGGTGACATCCTCGCGACCGTAGCGGATGTTTTCAGCTATTGTGGTGGCAAAGAGCACAGGTTCCTGACTCACCACACCGATAATTTCCCGCAGAAACTTCACATTTAGGGTCCGGATGTCCACTCCATCGATACTGACCTGAAATGAAAAATAAGTGTAACTTTGACACACTTGTGGTTGAGACCACAGCGTGAGAAGGATCTACAATGGTAACTGCGGAGGGCCATGTGTGCAGCTCACCACACCCTCGCTGGGGTCATAGAGCCTCTGTATCAGCTGCACCGTTGTACTTTTCCCACAGCCGCTGTTCCCGACCAGGGCCACTGTCTGCCCACTCTGCACCTGCAGGCTGAGTCCTTTCAAGATCTGGGAAGGCCAGTGAGAAACAAACTTTAATACACACACACACACACACACACACACAGCACACACACAGCACACAGTATGTATGAACTGACAGTACAATATTAAGCTTAAATAAAATGCATTTCTTTCTGTTTTTACACTCAAGGGAAGTGTCTGAAAGCCTCCAACAGATTGCTCAACCATTAGTTAATCATTTAGCACTTACCTTAACTTCTTTTCTAGACGGGTAACTGAAGTGAACATTTCTAAATTCCAAATTTCCCTTAATATTGTCTGGTTTGTGTCCATGGGTCGAGAAGCTGTTAATGTTCGGCTCCTAAAGAAAAGAAAATGTTAGGAAGTGATGAGGTTACAATACACACTTTCTACTGACAGATTGTGGGAATAAAGTGACAACAAAACTGACTCTTCATTGGAAAATCTTTTATGGGGTGAGTAAACTGGCTGGCTCAGACTTACATTATCAATTATTCTGAAAATTTCATAAGCTGCTCCTCTTGCATTGGCAAATGCCTCAATGTGTGGAGATGCCTGTCCCACACTAAATGCCCCAATTAATACTGAGAAGAAGACCTGAGAAAGTAGAGAAAAACCACAGAGTTATGCACTGTTTACTATAATTTTTTCCATACCTCCTCTTTTTTGGCAACTTGACTAATTCCATTTTAAATTGGCAGGCAACAAAAGCATAGTGGATATTAAAATTTTTTTTAATTTATAAATGAGAGTAAATTTCAAATGTATCACTGCAAAATGTCAGGTGAGATGATAGGTGCCAATCAACTTAATCAGTCTCCATTTTATACATATATCAAAGCATCACATTATATTCAATTATTACTCCTCCAAAGAAAATAGTGTGAATACATCTACTTAGTATGTTTAGCATGTAGAATTAGTCTCGCTCAGTGAAATGACAGTGTAAGTACTATTTGACCACATAATATTTTTGCATTTTTTCAGTGGTTAAGAATTTTAATTTAGATGTTGTAATGCAAAGTAAAGACTTGACTTCGTTTATACTCAAGGTTGAAGAGAACTAATGACCCTATTCATGGTTTTCTAAACCATACGAGAATTATAGTGCCCAATACTACATACTGAAGGAATTTTTCTGTGGGGTTCTATATTCATCACCTCAATTACTCCTTCCAGCAACACTAAACGTTAGGGCACAGGTTTCCTGACACTTCGTTTTGTCCTAAGAGGAAACAGAGGCTGAAGGGTTTAGTACGTGGCACTGCTGGACTTTGAATCATGTCTGTCAAATCCTGCACTCCCTACACTGAATATCTCCAGTTTTTGAAGCAGATGTTCCTCAAGGAACAGTGCATTTAAACTGCTTATCTAGGGCTGGGGATGTGGCTCAGTGGTAGAAGGGCTTACTGAGTGTGGCTGAGGCCTCCTGTTCAAGCCCGAGCACCGCTAAAGTAAGATGAAACAAAATGAACTACTTATATAGATTATAACTACAGAGTACAATGTAACTGTACCCTACACTCACTCACAGCATTAGCATCTCAAAAAACTTATAGGTAAAAATCAATCCTAACAGAGCAGCCTCACAAATTTAATAAAGCAATAGCTTGAAAAAATGAGAGGCAATTACTACGTTCATATTACAAATCAGAATCCTGAGAAATAGAACCGTATTGAGGGACTCACAAAATATGGTCCCTCATGAACCCATTACACTTACTATGGCATAAGGAAAAGAAACAGAGTGTCTCTTCTAACAAGATGTAAATACCACCTGGCTTGAAAAGTATTTCATTGTCTTTAACTAAAAGAAATGACATCAAATGGCAAGTCCTCTGTCCTTGTACAGAGTTCTGTACTGAAGAAAACATCCAAATACAACTTCCTTTCATGAAGACTAACAATTTACACTTCCATAATATTGTGAATTGGGTTGAGCAGCATTCAAAGGAATCAAAAGTAAATTAAAGTTTATTTTGCCATTTGTTGTTAAAACAGTAAACTAAAAAATCAAGGAGCAGTTAGCAGCCAGGCATGATGGCACATGCCTGTAATCTCAGCACTCAGGTAGCTGAGGCAGGAGGATTGTTATGAATTTGAGGCCAGCCTGAGGTACATAGTGAGCTCAAGGCTAGGATGAACTACATAGTAAGACCCTGTCTCAAACACACACACATACACACACACACACACACACACGTACACAAGAGCACTTAGTATCAAATTGTAAATAAGAATCATCAAATCCAAGTTCACACTAAAGAAATCCTTAATGTTAGTGCTCTTCTCTTAAAGGAGAAATTCTATAAGACATCTTTAAGGAAAATAACAAAATTGCTAGTTGGATCCATGTACTGTAATTTCCTTCCTACTCTGTCACCTAACAGTGCATGTCTGCCTGTAGTATTCATACATTCTTCTGTCAAAATTCAAAATATATTCATTCAAAATACATTCTTCTGTCAAGGCAACGCCACTCAGTTTCATTGGCATTCATAATAATGGCTCATTTCTACTTATAAGTCACATGTCACTTACAGTGAGAACTCGTCCAATGGTATATTCATTTGAGAGGACCAAGGTGGTTCCATACCAGAAGGCCAGAGCATAGGATGCATAGATCAGTAAGAAAGCTGCTCCTATAGAGATGTTGGCTGTGATAGCTTTCTTTATCCCAATCTTTTTAGCATCTTCTAAATTTTTATTGTACCTGGGAAACAAAACAAAAATTATCACATATCCCTGTAAGTCTTAGAAAAAATATGTCAGTGTAGGATGACAGTACTGAGCAGTTACCACGTTCTGAGCTCTGCCGGATACATGCATTTTCTCCTTTTGGTCGCACAGTGACCCTGCAACATTATTACTATTTTATTCCTTGCTATTTGTGAGGGAGTCTTCCAAAAGCTTCTTTACTGGCTTCAGCAAGAATGAAATAATTGAAGCAACATTTATCAAATTTCTAGAATATGTATTATTTCATGTAAGGGAAAATACAGAGACACGAAAATAAGTCTCTTCAGAAATTGTCCTCTCTACAAAATTTCTATGCTGGGTCAACCTCTATTCTTAGATTTTGAGGAATCTCCACACTGATTCTCAAAGTACTTGCACAAGTATACACTCCCACTACTTTTTCTCCACAGCCCCTCCAACATTTGCTAATGGTTGATTTCTTGATAACAGCCACTCTTACTGGGGTGAGATGGACTCTCAGTGTTGTATCAATTTGCATCTCTCAAATGATGAATGATGTTGAACTTTTTTCCATACATTTATTTACTATTTGTATTTCTTCATCTGAGAAGTGTGTGTTCATCCTGGATCCCCATTTTTGGATTGGGTCTTTGAATTTGGGGGGTGATCTGATTCTTTTCAATTCTTTATACATTCTGGATACAAGTCCTTTGTCTGAAGGACAGTTGGCTAAAATTTTTTCCCACTCTGTGGGTTGTTTTTTTTACTCTGTTGGTGATTTCTTTTGATGTGCAGAAGCTTTTAATAAGATGAGATCCCAGTTGTTGATTCTTTGAAGTATTTCCCATGCAGTCTGGGTTTTGTTCCTCAACTGTCTACCTACACCTATGTCTTCAAGATTTCTACCTACTTTCTCTTCCAGTAGATTTAGTGTTTCTGCTTTAATATTTAGATCTTTGATCTATTTTGACTTTAGTTTAGTGCATGGTGGTAGACATAGGTCTAGTTTTAGTTTTTGGCATGTGGAAAGCCCATTTTCCCAGCCCCATTTATTAAAGAGGCTATGTTTCTTCCAGTGAACATGTTTGGACCCTTTGTCAAAGATAAGGTGGATCAGTGTGTTTGTAGTTGTATCTACATGCTCTAATCTGTTCCACTGGTACTCATGTCTGTTTTTCTGCCAGTATCATGCTGATTTAATCACAGTAGCTTTGTAATATAATTTCAACTCAGGTGCAACCACTATGGAAATCAGTGTAGTGATTCCTCAAAAAGCTAGGATTATAGTCCCTATTCAACCCAGCTATTCCTCTTCCAGGTATTTTCCCAGAGGAATTAAAAACATACCACAGCAATATATGTGCACTCATGTTTATCACAGCACAACTTATCATAGCTAAATCTTGAAAACAACCTAAATGCCCATCAGCTGAGGAATGGATAAAAAAAGATGTATTTTTTATACAATGGAGTATTACTCAGCTATAAAGAAGGATAAATGAGACATTTATAGGGAAATGGATGCAACTTGAGGCCATACTCATAAGTGAAATGAATCAGACTTGCACATGTAAGTATCGTATTATCTCCCTAATATAAAACTGAGGGAGTAAATAAGTTCCAAAATATACAGCAGATATTGTGAATGGGAAGACATTGTTCAAAAGGAAAGAGAAACTGGGATGGGATAGGGGAAAGAAGGAAGAGGAACTGAACTATTATATATATATATAGTTAAGGTAGTTAAGGTTAGGTAGTTATACTACTAATTGCTATTAGTTCATTGAAAAGAAAGGCTTGTGCCTATATTGTTTGATCAATTTTTCATGCCTGCATCTTGTAATAAGAGCAACTACTTTGAAGATAACAATACACAATGTACTAACTATAGTTACTCTCCTACAAACTTGTTTTGAAATTTTGTTCCATTGGGTTTTTTTTCTTTCTTTAAAATAAAAATAAAGAAATGCAGGTATACTTAGCTGACAAATGCAGTATATATTCTAAATTTGCCTTTTCAAATCTCCAAGCCAGTATCTGGCAAGAAACTGGTAATTTTCCAAGTCATGGACTCAGTCCAGCAGGATATTGGGAGCCCAGTACCAAGTAGCCTGAAAGAGTTTAGGAGCTTCATTAAGTCAGAGAGAATACTCCTTGTTTACACTGAGGCCAACATATTTGTCAAACTCCAAGGGAGACATAAGGTATCTTGTTTTTTCTGCTATGTTTATGCCATAATACAGACATGTTTTATCTAAAAGCTACTAGAAAAAATCTCCATGCCTCTTTCATTAATTATAAAATTCTGACACAATGTTACACAGTACTGAACACAAGGAAGTCACTGAAATTTCTGAACCTTAAGGAAACTTTGAGGACAGCCTGCTCCTTGTCCTGACTCTCTCTGGTGCTGCTGGAAGGACCCACGGTGAGATTATATGTGCAAGAGCAGTTGCAGAGCTTTGAATTGCTATGTAATATTTTTCCTTAAATGAGCTGTACAATGAATGCTCTTATTTCCTCACATACCTATTTTAAAAATTACTCACCTACAATGGATATCTGTCTTAGTACATAACAGTCCATCATTACTTACCAATATGCCTCTGTTTTATCCTTTCTTTTTTTAAGGGATAAGACTGCTTGTTTGATTTTTAATTTTAAAGAGAATTTTAAAAAATAGCAATAGCAAAAATCCAACAACATAGATAAAAACAAAACAAAGCAAAAACAATGAGAATGATACAGGGTTTCAGAACAAAAAGATAGGGATGAACAGCGGTCGTTATATTACATATTTTTATCTTCATCAAAGTTGGTCAGATTACCAGATGTAAGAAAGCAAGATTGATTAAACCATTAAAGAGAATAAAAAATAAAAGCAAAAAATTATACATGATACAGAGTTTCACCAAATAAGATGATAGGAATTCACCAGTGGTTGTTATATTGCATATTGTTGCCTTCAAATTAATTGTTCAGATTACCAGATATAAACATGCAAAACTGTTCAAAAAATAAATAAAAAAATAAAGCATTAACTGTTCTTTTCAATAAACCATTAGACACTAACAGTATAGTTATCTCAGCTACCCTTCTCAATACTGCCTAAATAGCCTTCCCAACTTTTGTCAGACAATGGCTGGCCACTGCTAGGCTAAGGGGTTCCATCCTTTTGGTCTGGGCCACCCAAGTTCTTGTAGCTCCAAGGCCTGAAAAAATAAAACTTTCAGCACCTCTACAGCCCTGTCACCAGATCATAACATGAAGGTCACAGAGAACACCCATTAAGATATTTTAGGGCAAACATGAATTCCACAAAAGGGGGCAAAAAAAAACCAAGGATCAAACAAACAGGAAAGAAACAACATATGTAGAAATATCTGTCTACCAGCATATCTTTCTGCAGTTCTAATGATTCAGTTCCCAAATGAAAATTCAAGTACTTTTAAAACTTCGAAGAGTAGAGAATGTCTGATTCTAAAATTAAAGGTGATGGTCCTGCAACTTCAACTTCATTTAAAAGGAACAGACCATCTTGCCCAAGAAGAGGGAATAGAGATAAGATAATGGCTTAGAGTCAGGTAAAAGAAAACTTTGCAAATATACTGCCAAGGTAAAATTATTAGAGCAACAGGAAAAATTGTAATTGAGCCTTGAATCTATCTTTATTCTCTTAATCAAGATTCCCTAAAGAATCTAGAACCTTGGCTAGCACACAAGAGCTCAAAAATTGCTGAAACCAAAGAATTTAAATTGACAGACATTTCACATTTTGGAGTTTTGATATATTAGATACATGACGGTATTAATATTATATCATTGTGCAGCATTTTACAACTAATGAAAGAGGCATAGAGATTTTTTTCTAGCAGCTTTTAGATAAAATTACATCCAAGCTATTCATTCTCCAGCAGAGTTTAAACTACCCCCTGGGTAAGCACACGTTTTCTGGCCTGTATGACTACATTTTAAAGATTGGTTATTATATCACCATTACAAAAGTATGTCATGTGAAATTTATATGGCAACCCTGTCTACTGAAAATGAAATAGAAACAGAACTTATAGTGATAAAATACCTAAGTCTCCAGCTCGACACTTTGCCATCTTGGACTATTAACAGAGAAACATGTTTCAGTAGAAAGTATGTGTGCAAATGCGCACGTGTGCCCTAGAAGTTGTGATGAAGACCAAAGTAGCATTTGCCATACATTGTATACAACTGTTAAGGAACTTTAGTACTTCTGATCATATTCTGCCTTGTGTTGGTATCAGATGTGCTTACCAAGACAGACGTCAAAACCATTTCACTAAGAGATTGTCCTGTGAAGCCAGAGGAAACATTTACATAGGAAGAAGCAACAACAGGAGGCAATTATTTAGATTCTATAAAAGATAAATGAAAATAAGGGTACAGAGCAGGAAGGAGATATAAGCAAATATTCCTTTTACACAGGCTTCCTGCTTTGCTTTTTAATAAAAATGTCACTCACATAAAAACAGATTTTAAAATCACACATTCACTACACAGTTTGATATGAAAATAAAAATTAAAGTGGGAGTTCAAAAAATGGGCTGAAGTAATGCAACAAAACATCAATACTTTAAAAATATTACTCTTCTTAACTATTATGAAAACTTTTTTTAGTTAAACAAAGAAATACTAACATACAAACATATTTGGAAAACATGTAGGAGAAAAAATATTTTTAAATTAAGTAGAAAAAACCCTATTCTATTAAATTCATTTACAGTTCTGGTAAAATTTCTATAGCCAGAGAGCCAACTTCCTCCTGGCCTTTTTATGAACAGAAATTCAGACTAAGACTTTGCTTGTTCATGTGGAAGCAGAGAAGAAAGTGGAAGGCAAACTGAAAGATTCTGTTTCATCAAAAAACAGTCTTACAAATTCAGCTTCCAATTTAAACCTCAAAGATGAGTCCTTCAGCCACCTGCTGCCTCTACTCTAGGTCAGGCTACCATCATTCCTATCAGATCTGTACTGACCTCCATTGCTCTCACCGGCCTACCTTTTAAATGATCTCATCTGCTCTCAGACTTTCCAGACAGAGAAATGGCCATTCCCCTGTTTAACACCGTCAGCCACTTCCCCATCTTTGGAATAAAACTCTTAACTCTTCATCATGACCTACAAGTCCCTACATTCTGGTTCCTGCTCATCCTAAACAACTTTCCCGTAAGGAAGCTCTACTCAAATAAGCCTGATAATATTCCCTGGAACATACCAAAGTCTTTGCTTCTTTAAGATATGTGAAGTCGCTTTCTCTGATCCATCCTCTCCTCGCCCTCATCATGGGAGGCCTTTTCTCATCTCTCAGGTCCCACCCCACATGATTCTTCCTCAGAGTGACCTCCCTGGCCACCATATTTAAGTCTGCTGTCCTCACCCTAACCAAGGCACCCTCATTTTTTCAAATCTACAATTTAATATCTCTAAATAATGCTTATTCTGACACTTTCAAGAGTATTTTATTTCTCCAAACAGTGTTTATTCCAACAATTATAATCCATACCTGCTTATTTGGACCTCTCTGTCTCTTTCTCCTCCTCATTATAATTTCAGCTCCATGAGACTATGGGCTTTCTGTGGTGAGATGTTCTTGTGGTTATTAAGTAAGATTTCCCACTTTATTAGTGAGAATAATTTTACAGCAACAACAAAAGCTTTAGGAAGAATCTAACTAGAACATAGATACTGCCTGCCATACAACTAAACTACCAACTTAGCTATCACAAGTCATTGTTTTGGGTATAAAATATATTATATAAACAAATGAAGATTCAAAAACATGCAGAGTGCTAAAAATAATTCTACAGTAACTACTAAAGTAGGAATGGAGTAGTTTAAGACACCGCTCTGTAGGCACTTGAGAAGCCCAGCCGTGTATCCAGCTCTCATCCTGCAACTTCTCATCTTTCCAAAAGTGATCATTATTCTGACTTACAAACAAACATTTCCTTGTGTATCACATCATGTATGGTCTTCTATACAGAATAGATTTTTCTTTTTCCAAAAAATGTACATTTATAATACTATACGTTACCATGGTGTTATGTTAAATTTTATAGATGGTTTCTTGATGTCTAGAAATTACTGGATCTTATGAATACTATAAATTTCAATAAATTATGATCTATACTCTCAGAAATCTAAGAAAAGGGAACATCATAAGGGCTATAGTAAACGATGTACCATAAAAAATACTTTGAATTTTTCTAAAATGTGTTTTTAGTTATATTTTTATCTTGCAAATCATGGAGCACATCTTGACTAAATGGGAGTCTGGGCAACAGCAGAAATGGCCCACACATTAAAATAATCCAGAGATATTGTGCAAAACTTACTCATCCAGTCTTCAAATATCAAGAATTAGTTTGTTAGGTAAAAAAACTCATCAGAGGTATGAAATATATTTTAGCCTTACAAATCACTTTTATGTTAAAGTCCATCTGGGAAATTACATAAAGTTCTTTGAATTAGCAGATAAGAGACTGTACAAAAAGTTTACAACTTTCAGAATATTAGCAACGGTTCAATATATCCATTAGTTATTAGCAAACATTCATACCGGAGAAATCTTCTTCTAATTAACTGTCAGCCTTAAGGACATAAGATGACACAGAATTTAGGAGTTCGAGCAACTTAAAAGAGGAACTCAAACCTTTCAAGTTCTTTCTTTTGTCCTCCAAATGCAATCACAGTTCTTATGGCTGCCAAGACTTCTTCAGCCACTGCGCCAGCTTTTGCATATGCTAAGAGTTCTTTATCAGTAAACGAAGACAGTATCTGTTTTGAATGCAATTGCAGACCATTTAAGCATTTTAACAAGTTAACTTTATCATAATGCAAAATTACACAGATACACAAATATATCAATGCATGTGAAGAGTGAAATGTTTCTCTTAGCTATTTTTGATCACGATGTTCCACATTTTAGCATATATACTCACTGTGTAAACTACCTCAAATTATTTTTATTTTTATTTTTTATTATTTTTTGGTTTTTCTCCAGTACCAGGAACCGAACTCATGACCTTGCGCTTGCCAGGCAGGCACTTTGCCACTGAGCTAAATCCCCAGCCCCTCAAATTATTTTTAAGTGGAGATGATAGATAATAGATTAACTTCACTTTTTCCATGAAAACCACATAGATCCTCATCTAAATAAACAGAATTGGAACTTTTGAGAGATATTAAATTTCAGAAAAGAAAATATATATCACACTACAATAACAGAAAACAGTCATTATACTATATAACCCAACAATTATACTTCTGAGCACTCATCCTACCTAGAACAAAATAATAAGACAGTAAGAGTAGTTAATACACTATATATCATCATCTTAAAAGTAGTTACTCAAAGTGTAAGACAGACATAAAAGACTCCCTTAAGAAAGAAAAACTGCTAATAACACAAAACTTTATACTCATAGCTCAATATATTTTGTGTTAGGCTTGGCTCTGGTTGGCCTTCTTTTTCTATACAAGTTTTTGTTACAGGGATTTGCAGTATCATCTCTAAATTATGTGGAACCCAACTAAAACTGTATCTGTCCACCAGATACCCAATCTTATCTTAAGTCAGTTTATAAAACGAATACAACACACACAAAGAATGACAAAGCAGCTTTACAGAATCCTGTGAGGCATGTGTACCAGGGTGGGGAAGACTAACTTCTATCAGTCTACTACTGTGATTGGGAGACAGAATTGCAGACTAATGATTTACATGGATGTGGGTAAAGAAAGTGCTTTGCTTAAGTCATTTTTATAACAATTCTTGGAATGTATATGAATAGAAGAATGTACAATGCTGATAAAACTGTGTCTCCCAAACTAAAAACATTCAACTCAAGAATGTTCATTGAATGAAACACATGTGCTCTTCACTGAACAATCTCTACTTGCTGCGTGGCTATCACACTGTCCACTCTTGAACACGGACCTCTAGGGTTCCATATGTCCTCTTTGTGTAGGAAGAGGATGTGTTGTAAGAGCCACTTGCCTCTTGCTCATACCTTTCCATAATAATCACATGGCCAAGGACACGAAGCCCTGATATGAGCAGTACTCAGTTTAGCTGATTTTGAACAGAAGATGGAAATATGAAGTAGAACATCCAGACTATAATAAAGATCCTTCCACGGGGTTTTACCGAGGAGTTAAAACCTGAATTCACAGGCTTCACCTACCTTTGCCCAGACTGCAGCTGACAGTCCAAGAACAGGGCTAATGGCTAAGATCACAAGGGTCAGCTTCCAACCACGTGTGAATCCTACTATGAAACCAGCCAAAAATGTTGCCAGTGACTGAAAGAACATTCCAATTTTGTCACCAATTCCTTCATTAATTTTGGAGACATCACTAAAAGAACAGATGGTTTTAGAGAAAATGTCACGATTGTAAACACAGAACCTTTCTCCTGAATCCAGCTTGCTTTTGTTAAGAGTAGGATAAAATAGTTTACATCTATGGTCCTTCTGTGTTTGCTTGTTTCATTTGGCAAGAAGACAATTTCTAATGGGAAATTTGTCTAACAGCAGGACCCTGTAGTCTCTATAGCCCCAGGAAATGGACATGGTGTAGTGAAGGACTCCAGGCAGAAATTTCAAACGGCCCAGAAATTTCCCCAGGAGGTGTTTGTACTGTTGCTTTACTGCACACTGTGGTACATGCACACAGCTGGCAAATCCAGGCCCTCCCTCGGTGCTAGTCACGCAGTCCCCTCCTAACCTGCTAGGTGCTGGGGGGAAAAGATACATAAGACAGGGTTACTACTCAGAGGAATTTAGTCTTCTGACTGATGCACTAACATCTCCTAGCAGATCTGATGACCTCTATTTCATTATGTTAAGAGCAAGAACCAACTATGACTCAGCTATGAAACTGGGTACTTACTCTGCGAGCCGTGTGTTCAGCTCCCCTACATCATGCACATCAAACCAGCCTATCTCTTGCTTCATGATAGCATGGAAGAATAGTTTTCTAATTTTGTGTATCTGTCTCCCAGCTGCCAGGCACCAAAATGAAATCTGAATATAAGCAGCAATAAGCACGCCAGCCCCAATTCCACTATAGTAATAGGCATACCTAGAAAACAAGAACACAACACATATGCTATTTCCTAATCAATGTATCTTTCCCAGACAGATCACTCCTTATCACTTTTTACTTACCCTGATATCTCACCATCTTTCACAAGTAAGAAGGGTTTGTAACAGGCAGAGTTGATGTTCAGCATCTCCACCATCACAGAAAAATGGTTAAGAGTGATTTCTCTTACATAATAAACCCAAAGTGTAAATAAGTTCAAAAGCAAAGTAAAAGGTAATAGTGGACAAGGAGATAGATCAGTTGCAAGTGGGAAGAGGATCAATAATTGGACAAAGAGGGGAAAGGAAGGGGATGTATAAAGAATTAAGATGTGCTATGTACAGCTACCAACTCCGCACAATGAATATAATCATTATGGGTAACAAAAATGAGCTAATAAAATAAAAAAAATTTTAAAAAGTGATTTGTAATTTGGCTCCATCTCAGTTCTTGATTTAACATCTGTGAAATCTCAGGCAGGCTGCTGACCATTCCCAAGCTTCAGTTTTCTAATTCTAAGTGGAAATAAGTACAGTGACTTAGGCACATGTGAGCTACGCTTGGCCAGCACTGGCATAGAGAGAGTACTGAGAACAAGCGGTAACTGTAGGGGGATGGGAAATCAGGCAAGGTGTGTCACTGTAACCCTGTCTATATTTACTATATCAACATCAACTGACAAGCCCTTTAGGATCTATCTAGTCATACCACCCTGAACAGCTCAGCCACATCTGAACCCTTTGGGGAGATCTGCGCAGTGCAGGATGGATAGAAGCACAGAATTTGACAGAAGGTGGAACCAGGGCATGGAAATGATCCCCTGGTCTTTTGGGCTATGATTCTAGCAGTGCTTATGCATTAAATGAAACAAAAAAAGTATTTTTACATTGTCTATTCAGCTGATCAGCATGAGCTATGCTATCATGTTAATGAATAATTTGGGGTTTTCCTTCCAGTGTAATCTCTAACAATAAAAATAAAAGACATCTTCCAACTTCAAACCTTTCAAATCTAGGAAAATTGAAGGCTCCTTGCTCCAAGCCCTCATATTTGAAAAGTAAACTGGTTGAGCTTCACTAAGAAATTCACTTTTAGATTCAAACCAAGCATTATAAAATATAAGACACCAATTTCTCACTTTAAAAAACCTCTGTGCTATCTTCTAAAAATAGTTGTACAATATAGGGGCTATTAAAATGTTAATGCAATAAGGACTTAGTCTCTGATAGTATGATTCAAAATCCTGTGCACAATTCATCAAGAGGATTGCTAAACCAAAACTCCCCCAATGCACCTGGTAATTTACAATGTAATTATCTGAGAACGTGTACTTAGGACTCTAAATTTTAGTTACTGAATGACTAAATAGATGAATCATTAATTAAATATTATCCCAGCACTAGAGTATATAGCAAGGGAGAGCTAAAAGAAATCTTATTTAACAAGTAGAATTCATTATTTGAGAATCAATAATGTGTTTTAATGTAATGCATGTTATCAACCAAGACGATCTGGTTTTTCCAATGCAAAAACAATGCCTTTTCACAGAAATATATGGCATTTTTTGTTTGTTAACTTTCAAGATATAAACAGCTGTCTCCACTTTCTTCAAACCTACCAGGTAATTCACAGAAAAATGGCATTATCTTTATCATCTGAGTCACTAACAGGTATCTTCAGACATCTCTTATAAACTACTCTAGGGAGTAAACTTCAAGATGTGTAAATTACTAACAAAGAATTTCCCTAATTTGTTAAGGTCAGTGATTATATTTCTTCTGGATGTCATGTTTATGATTGAAAACTAAGTTTTAAAAAATTCCCATTGGCTGATATTATTATCATACCATGACTTTAACATAAGAAAGCAAGCCAGTAATTACAAAGCCACTGGATATAATGATTCTTAATTCAATTCTTAATTCAACATAGCACAGTCATATGTTGGTACTCAGCTGCTTTGAAATGCTTGAATTTGGTATTTGACACATATTGATGATAACATTTTCTCCTGGTGCTCATCATTTATATGATATTCAACATGCAAGCTAGAGCTTGTCTCTCAACTCGCTACCTTTTCCAGCCGAAACAGTTGTCTAATACTCATCATGTTGGTACTTTGCATGCCTTCTGGAACCAGTTAATGAGGAATACCTAAGTACTACTACTGTACTTGTAAAGACTACTTGAAACTTCTCTAATTTCCCTGTACACGATATCCCATGTTTTCCAATGCATGCATTGAGTCTATTTGAGGCTTAACCTTACTTTTATACATCTTCTGCAGCCAATACTTTCCCTTAAAAATAATTCTGCATGGTATTCTCTTTAAAACCTAAAAATGGTACTATTCACCTCAAACCTTCAAATTTTTATGAAGATAATGCAAAGTTTTAAACAGTGCTATCTTGGGACTGATTCAGAAAAAGCTAAGAAAATAAGGTAAAGGAAATGTCTACTTACGTGGTCATCTGTCTCTCCAGACGCTCGTAGATCAGTGAGTTCAGGTCACCTAGATCACCACAAAACAAACACACCACTTATGTCTCCTTCATCGCCATTAGAAAATAAGCACATACAAATGAACTAAACACATTTCAAATAACAATTCATAAAAAAAAAAACCCAGGACACACTGACTCCATTTCTATTATGTATAATTATTATGCCACTCATCCCAATACTTCTCTGAAAGTTATATGCAACCACACACAGACTAAATTCAAAGACACTTATTTATTTGTAAGATGAAACCCACACTTACAAATAAATGCCAAAGCATACTTGACCCTTAAGAATATATTTAAAATATCACATTGCATTGGATTTACTTTATTTAAAAATTATCAAATATAAAGAATAGTATATAAACACTAGTGAGAATCACCAAATACAGGCAAATACTAATATACACTTGTATTCAGTTTCTCAAAATTTATCTCTAAGAATTTTTCCAATGAAATAGTTAACAGCAGAGGAAATCATTGAGCAAACAAATAAACAAACAAACAAACCCTAAATCCATCATGGAAATTTTTACAAAGCATTTAAAACGTCAATCTTAGCTAGCATTCTGCCTTGAGCATACCCATAACGCAGGTTTTGAGGACAGAGATGACAATGGATTTTTTCCCCTTGCTTATAGAACCAACATTTTGAAACACATATTCAAGATAGACACACAATTTATACACTGATAATTTAAGTATCAAAACATAAATAAAACTTGATCATTCCTGTTCCAATCTGCACACAATTTATATAGTCACAGTTTAAGCATCAAAATATAAATAAATTCTGATTGTTTCTCCAAAAGTCTGAAGTGCTTCAAAATCTGAAAATTTTGAGCACTGACATGGTGCTCTCCACAGGTAATACCACTTCATCAAGCTTTGCTTCATGCAGAAATGTGTTAAAAATATTTTAACAACCCAAATGCCCATCAACTGAGGAATGGATAAAAAAGATGTGGCATTTTTATCCAATGGAGTATAATTCAGCTATAAAGAAAGATAAACGAGGTTTTTATAGGTAAATGGATGCAACTGGGGACCACACTCATAAGTGAAATAAATCACTCACATATGTAAACATCATATTGCCTCCCAGTGTAAGAACCCGAAAGAGTGAATAAAATCTGAAAGGTACAATAGATATTGTGAAAGGGAAAGAAATTGTTCAAAAGCAAAGAACAACTGGGATGAGGGAAAAGAGAAAGGAAAGAAGGGAAATATATATATATATACACACAGAATAGCTAAGGTAATTTTTTGTTGTTGTTGTTTTGGTTTTTTCCAGTACCGGGAATCAAACTCATGACCTTGTGCTTGCCAGGCAGGGGCTGTGCCGCTGAGCTAAATCCTTATCCCCAGCTAAGGTAATTATACTACTAAGTTCTCTTGGTTTATTGAAAGGAACAGTTAATGTTTAACTGTTTGATCAATCTTATATGCCCAGATCTGGTTACCTGAGTGACCACTTTGAAAGTAATGATATGTAGTACAACAACCATTGTTAATTTGTATCACCTTGTTTTGAAATTCTGTATCTTTTTATTGTTTTATGTTGTTTTGTTCATTTGTTTATGTCTTCTTTTGTTTGTTATTTTGTTTCTGTTCTTTTCTCTTTAAAATAAAAAATATTTTACGTTACCTTCAGTCAATGTGTATAAAATGCATATGAAACATAAATCAATATCCAGTTCTGATGTGGTTCCCACCCCCAAGACACTCTGTTACACATAAGTAACTATTCCAAAATCTGCGAAAAAGCAAAAAACCCCCAAAGATAAATTATTATTGTTTAGGCATTTCCTCTGAATTACTAACTCATGTTAAAATCTGAATATCTCATTTTCTTCATTTCTCTGCACACAGTCTCATAGTGAATAAACAGAACCTACAGTCCTCCAGTTTCAGTTTTGCTTTCTGTGGTTTGTGTACCAGCCGCCAACCACCCATGATATCAATCCGTATCACCACAGAGGGGAGCAGGCAGTACAGCAACATGCGTATTGTGAGAGACAGAGAGAGCACGCTCACACAATCTTTATTACAGTATGTATTCTACTTGTTGTTATTATTAGTTACTGTTGCTAATCTCATTATGCATAGTTTATGAATTATGCAGACATACTTTTATCACAAATATGTCTGCATAGGAAAAAACACGGTACATATGTGGTCTAGTACTGCTCAGGTTCTTAAGGATGCACCAGGGGTCTTCAGAGGAGTGGACTGCTACACTCAGAAGAAAACTGCCAGATTCTCACCTCATCATCTACCCACCCTGGGACTATGATACACAAATACTGTCTCTTCCCATCCGTTGCTAGAAACTAAGGGTCCCTGCTTCTATCTAAAGCAAATCTTTGCTCCTGAGCCGTGGATCCAGTTCTTTCTCAAAGACATGACACAAAAAATTCTCTTCCCTTTCTCTTTCGAGCTTCACTGCTTACTTTCTCTTACACACACACATACACACACACACAATTTATTTGCCTCTATTTCTTCATTCTTGCATTTTCTCCCAGATACCTCAACCCATGACAATGTACAAAACTTAATTTCTGTTATTTACCCCACAGAACTAGTCTTCCTGCATCTTCCTCATCTCAGCTGATGATAACCATATCCTTCTAGTTTCTAAGGTGATAAACTTTACAATCATCCTGGATTCTTCTATTATGCCCATATCCAATCTGGCAGGGACTCTCATAACTGATTCCAGCTTATTATCAAAGGTCCTGGGTAGAGTCTTCTATTTCTCCCTGAAGTTCTCTGTAACATTTGTGGCTTCAAACTTTCACCTTTTCTTTACATCTTTGTCAGAACTTCCACTATGCATTCTAAGGTCTGTGAATTTGCCTTCAGAAACTCATTACAAACAAAAGCTGGTGCTCACAGATTGGTGAACTGGATCAAAAAACAGAATCCAGCTGTCTGTTGTATTCAAGAAATTTACCTAATCCAAAAAGATATTCATAGTCTAAAAATCAAAGGGTATAAAACTATATTTCATGAACCAAGACTCCCAAAACAAGCAGAGGTAGCAATTTTAATCTCAGACAAGGTAAATTTCAAGATAAAACTGACTATAAGAGATAAAGAAGGCTATTACATTCTGCTTGAGGGAAGAATCCACCAAGAAGATATAGCATTGATAAATATTTATGCACTGAACACTGGAGCACTGATCTTCATAAAACATATACTACTGAATGCAGAAGATCAAATAAGTGCTATTATAGCCATAGTGGGGGATCTCAGTGTCCTGTATTTGCAAAGAAACAGATCAAATAAGCAAAAAAAAATCAATGAACAAATATCAGAGCTGCATCACACTACTGCACTTAGATGGACTTAGTAGCCATCTACAGGTATTCCACCCCACGACAACAAAGTATGAATTCTTTTCTGCACAATATCACACTTTTTCCAAAATAGCTCATGTACAAGTCCACAAAGCCTGCTTAAATAAATATAAAAGAATCAAAATTACTCCACATGTACTATTAGATCACTGTGGAATGAAACTAGCAAACAACCACAGAAGAAATTACAGAAAATGTAGCAGCTCCTGGAAAATTAACTATATAATAAACAGCCAATGGGTCATGGGGTAAATTTTTAAAAAGACATTGAAACATTTCTGGAAGTTCATGGCAATGCTGGTACAAATCATTGAAACTTCTGGGACACAGTGAAAGCAGGCCTAAGAGGAAAGTCCATCGCAATCAATGGACACATTAGGAAAATAGAGCAAATTCAAATAAATAACTTTATGTCATGAGGAATCTTAAGATATTTGAAATCAACAATCTAGGCCCAAACCAAAATTAAAGTGAGAAATTATAAAGATTTGAGTGAAAATCAATACAATGGAGACTATAAAAATACAAAATATCAACAAATCAAAGAATAAAGAAAACAGATAAACCCTTAGCCAGACTTAGAAAGAGAAACAGTGAAAAGACAAATGCGATTAAAATGAAAAAGGTGAAATCAGAACATAAATTATTGAAATCCAGAAGATAGTAACTACTTTGAAAAAGTATTTCAACAAATTGACAAATTTTAAAGAAATACAGATTTCCAGACCCATACACATTACCAAAGCTAGCCCAAGAAGACATAAATATACTGAACAACCAAATAACAAGCAATGAAATCGATACAGTAATAAAGAATCTACCAACTAATAAAAAGGCCAGGACTAGATGGATTCTACAAAACTTTTAAGGATATTAAACCACCAATACTCCTCAAGCTCTCTAAAGAAATTGAAAGATATGGAGTATGTTATGGCTTGTATCTAGATGTCTCCCCATGGCCTCATGTGCTCATAGATGGTGCCTTAGGGAGGTGTCTGGATCACGGGTGCGTGGTGCTGGATTAAGGTATTTCATACTGGGACTAAGGGTGTGTGATAATTCAACTGGTTTAACATAATTCTGGCTGTGGGTAATGGAAGCCCCACCTTGGGTGTGGGTAGGACCAATTAATGGGCTTGTGGTCTGGGTAGAATATAAAGGGAAAGAGAGAAGACAGGCTTTGCTGTTTGCTGCCTCCTGTCTGCTCTGCCATAGACTCTTTCTCCTCTGCGATGCCCCTCTGCCACCCTGCTCTGCCTTAGAGTCAGCTGACTACGAACTGAAACCTCTACAAACTGTGAGCCTAAAAAATCGTTTCCTCCTTTAACTTGGGGTACTGGGTATTTTGTCTCAGTAACGAAATAAGTAATTAAGATAATGCTTCCCAAATCCCTTATGGAAGGCAACATCGCACTTATTCTGAAACCAGATAAAGACTCAACTAAAAAAGAAAACTATAGGCCAGTCTCCTTAATGAACATAGATGCGAAAATCTTTAACAAGATATTAGTGGATAGAATGCAGCACATCATCAAAAAAGATCATATATAATGATCAAGTAGGTTCCATACATCACATAAACAGAAGGTAAAAGAATCACACAATCATATGAAAGACGCAGAAAAGAATTTTGACAAAATCCAACATCACTTCATGATAAAAATCTTGAAGAAAGGAGGTATAGAAGGGCCATATCTAAATTTGATAAAAGCTATTTATTACAAACCATTAAATGGGGGAAAAACTAAAGGCATTCCCCCTAAAATCAAGACCAAGACAAGGATGCCCTACTATTGTCACTACTATTTAACATAGTATTTGGAATATGAGCCAGAGCAATCAAGTAAGAGAGAGAAATAGCAGGATTACATACAGGAAAGCGAGAACTCAAATTAACATTATTTGCAGATGACATGATACTCTACATTGAAGACATAAGGAACTGCACCAAAAAACCTCTTAGAATTAGTAACCAACATCGCAGTGTAGCATAGGATCAACACAAAAATCATTTATGTATACCAATAAAGAACTTGATCAGAAGGAAATTATGAAAATACCATTCACAGTAGCTTCAATGAAAATGAAATACCTGGGAATTAACCACACCAAGGAAGTATGTATCAAAGAACTAATATTAGAATTGCATATGACCCAGCTCTCACCCTTCTAGGTATGATTCCCAAAGAGCTTAGGACATCATACTGTAGCGATGCATGCAAACCAGTCTTTACAGCAGCGCAATTCATATTAGCTAACCCCTGGAAGCAGCTGTAACCTCATCAACAGATGATTGGATAATGTGGTATCTATATACAATGGAATTCTACTCAGCTATAAAGAAAGAGATATTTCAGACATTTGGAGGAAAATGGATGCACCTGGAAAATATAATGTTGAGTGAAATAAACCGGACACACAGGCTGAATTACTGTATGGTATCTGTCATTTAAGAAAGGCAAAGTACAAATAAAGAGATCAATAAAAAGACAGATAGAGACAAGGGATGGATCTCTGCTAATGAGAAGGTGTCTAAGAGACCAAGGGCAAAGGGTGAGGAGGAGGGGAAGGGGAAATAAGTAGAATAAAGATGTGCCATGTACAGGAACCTAACAATCTCAAGAATCCATATTCCATAAACATGAGCTAAGACTAATAATATCAATGACAATGAAAAGGGAGAATGGGGAATTAGAGCAGGAGAGAGGGAAGGGAAGGGGTGGGGAGGGGATTAAAAAAGAGGGAACTGTGTTGTGTTATGTACATGTACCCACTCCCCAAGATGACTGTAAGAAGAATTTACTGCAAATATGTACTGTACTAAAAAAAAGGTGCTGGTGCTCCCACCCTGCACTTCCCTCAGCAGTAGACACAACAGTACAAATTTAGGAAAGTTTCCACTCATAGTGTTTTCCTACATGTTCTGAATAAAGTCAGTACCAGAAACAACACCTACTGAAATTCGAGTCAGTAAGATTTGGTAGAATACTGCTTCCTGCATCTGCAAAGCTGTCTGTCATGTCGCCCAACACCAGCATCATCAAGGGGAGGGCAGATCCATGGATAAGAGCAGCCAGAGTTCCCAGCAACATGTACATCTTGTCCAGCCCATCTGAGTAGCGAAACTGAGAAAGAGAAAATGTAGAGCATAGGCACAATTAGCACATTTCATGGATGGTTTGTTCTACCTTAGTAATGTATCCCAAATCCAAATAATTTTCAGACTATCACTGCCACTAGCTACTACTCCAATCCAAGCTACTTGCTACCTTTGATAAATTCACTTAATTAGAAATGGGCAAATTTTTCTTCTACTGAGATCTCAAGTAATTCTTCATACTGGACTCTGTCTTCCTCTATAAGGTATGATCAGAACTTAAATATCTTTAATGACTATAATAGAAATAAAGTATATCTTGTTCCAGTTTATAAGAGAAATCACTTTTCGGGTCATGAAAAAAAATCTGACTGCCAATGCCCTTCTGAAAGCATCAATCAATAAGTATTTTGTTACTTTAAAAGAGTGCCTTAGGTTAAAGATCTAGCGCACAATGGAATCAACATAAATCTAAAATGACTTTTAGCATAATCATGCCTTAACAATGAGAGGAAAAGAATTAGTTAGATGCATGTTTCCCAAGAACCATTTTTCGTAGGAAAGTAGAACATGGCCCTATCCTACCAGTGCAGATCCTCATAATTTCTTACAGCAGAGTTACAGGAAAAAAGACTTCTTGTAACCTAAAAAGTGATGGAAGAGGATACAGTAAGAAGAATGGGCTCAGGGACACCTGGGAAGTAACTACTGCTTCTTTCACATAACCAAAGAACTGGTTAAGGGTTGGGGAAAAAAAACAGGAAACAAAACAAAAACTAAAACAGGATAAAGCCAGTGGTGGAGCATAAGATAGGTGGGTGTCATGTGGACAAACCATGTAGCTGCAGGCAGAAGGTTTGTTGTCCAAGGGGGAAACAGGGCACGCAGTCTTAGGTCCAGGAAGGAAGTTTAAACCCAAACATGGATCAGGTATCAGGCAACATAAAAAAACACAGTAGTGCAAGCAAGCCTTCAGACCTTACATATTCTCGACAAGGAGACAGAAATCAATCCTAAAGTTAGCTACCAAATTACTATACCGTTACCAAGTTCAGCAACTCAGAGGCAGTGAGTAGGAATAAACACTGAACAGACAACTGGAAAAATAAAGAGAATAGCTCTTGTCAGTAGTGAGTTGCAGTCCATCAAGCAGGACAGAAAAAGATAAATCAAAGTATGAAGTGATTAGTGAAAAGATAAAGTTTGGCAGGAAAATATGGCATGTAAAGGGCACAGGGGTTCACATTTCAGCCTTTTCTAGTACTTCAAGGTGTAGTCAACTCAGGTCAAGTTTAGGGTCTTGACATAACTTTTCATACCCTCAAAATATTGTCCAATTTACAAATTACAATATAAAGAAGAGAATAATGTTTTGCTATGTTTCTTCATTATCTTCCTGAAGCACAATTTAAATTTTGGCACTTTGTCTAGACTAGAAATGCATCCTATTCTTTAAACAAACCAAAACGAATGAGAAGAGATTGGCAGAAATTATTTATGTTCTATCAGAAGCACTAAAAAGTGGACAAAATATTAAAATTCCTATATACTCAGAGAAGATAGAGTTTATGCACAGTGTATCTCATCACCTCCATTATAAAATATTTTTACCTTCAGAACATCTCAAAATCAAGCAGGCCATGAGTCTAAACACTTGCTGAATGTGATGAACGTGATGAAAAATGAAGCATACAGCATCCCCCAAGCGATTTCCTTACCAAAATGCTTAACATGCACATAAAAGAACTTTAGGTCTAACTTTCACCATATAAAACATGCAAAGCATGGAGGATCAAGTGAAGTTATAGCAAGGGAGCAATTAATGTAGTCCAGCAGGAGGACACTGTACACTGTAACTGACCTGCTAATGTTATTTACTGAAAGCAGAAACACTCTAGGCTTTTTTTGAAAAAATATCCAAATATCACTGGACTGACACTGTGTTGTACAAATAAAGTTAACAAGAAATTTTTGGTGATAATGGAAAAAATTTGAGTATGAATAGAGCATTATATAGCATTGAGAAATTATTGTTCATATTGTTACATATGATCACTACACTATGCATTAAAGAAAATTATTTTGGGGAAAAATTTTGAGAGATATGAACTAGAAACAGGTATGAAACATTATGAAATCTACAATTTCACCTGAAATGTGGCAAAATATTAATTATTGGCTATAATCAATGAGTATGAATTTTACTTTTCTACCTTATTACATGTTTGATAAATTTTATCCTAAAACTTGGTGAACACAATATGGTTCTCAAACAGGCAAAGGTACATCTCACATAGAAAGGAACGAGTTAAAAGTGAATTTAGGTTCAACTAAGATTCCAGGAATGATCAGAGAAAGCTGAGAGAGTCCAAGCTTAATTTTTCTTTATGACATAAAGCAAGACTGTTTTCTGGAGAGAGAAGTTGAGGAGAAGAAGTGAAGAAGGTGGTAAGATAATCTCAAGTAGGGAAAAAAGCCACAGTCAAACTCCTCCCTCTGTAGTTTATTAGGCAAGAGACTTTTGGAGGGGAGGTGAAAGCCTCCATCTGTACACTTACAAAATGAGAAAAATGCACATACATACAGAAAATCTTCTCTCTATGCCATATGAGAATTAAAATGAAGCTTAATAATTTTTATTAAGCAAAGAATACAAAAATATACAACAAGCAGGAACCTCTTGATTTTGCAAATGTCATAACTCTTCAGGTTCTCACAGTAAAGGAGCAGAAAGTCAAAACATTAACATATCAGTTGCAATGTTGGAGCCTTCTGAAAAAAAAGGAAATGGTTAGACATTGATAGGAGAGATACATAAGGGGAACCAGAACCACAAAAGGGAAGGCTTATCAGTGCTGAAAGCTAAGGGTCAGAATTCCCACGCCAAAGAAGTTGATATTACAGGAAGGAAGATGGCTTTTGTAATACTTAGCAGGTTAGATGGGAGCATGACCATGGTGTCCAGACTAGAGAAAAGTTGGTAAAGTTAGTCATTTATTCAGAATTTAACAATGTTTCATAAGCACCTAATAAGGGTCCTACTTGGTTCTGGGTAATGGCAGAAACAAAGTAAGTTCTCTTTCCTCCTAGAAGTTATATGCTAGTGCAAATATTTACAAAAGGAACATTACATGTGTGCAATAATTATTCAACATCTAGGCATCTATTAAAGTCCTAGGTGCTATTCTAGGCATGTGAGGTCCAACAGGGAAGAAAATATAACAGCACTTCACCCTCATGGAGCTTAAATTCAAGGAAAAGACAAATATAGGCAAGAAATTTGATGAAGTGGTAGCATATACCTGTTGTCCAGTTGTTTGGGGAGCTGAGAGGCAAAAGGACCACAAGTTTGAGGTCAAGAGGAGCAATATAGTCAGATCTTGTCTCAAAATAAAATAGTGAAAAACTGCTGGGTGTGTAACTCAGGATGAAGGCCCTGGGTCTACTCACTAGGACCACAATCAGTCCCTCCTCAACATAATAAAAAGGGCTGTAGGTTTAACTCAGTGGTGGGGCACCCTGTGTTCCATGGTTCAATACCCAATATAGAAAGAAAAATCAAAGACTGTTTAAGTGTTCAGGAAAAAGTCCATACAGGAAGATATGCCAGAGTGACAGGCAGGGGCGGCGGGCTTAGACTGTCCAGTCGGGGATGGCATGGTACCTCTGAGAAGAGAACTCAGGACAGGAACATGCTCTTAATCATGTGACCATCTGGGGACATGGCATCGCAGGCATGAAGAACAAATGCAGTGCTTGTTAGATGAAAATGTGTTTGGTGCATCTCAAGGATTACACTGAATGAACACTAGTGAGAACAGAGGGAGGGATGGGAGTAGATTGTGATGTGGTCACAGATGAGGCTGGTCTCAGATCACAAGGAGTTATGTCTGCGTATTTATAGAAAGGAGACGGGGTTTACTCAATCTTTCATACAGATGGGTAGGAAAATTTCAAGGAAAGGACTGAGGTAATATGAAATGGTCACTATGCATAGATCTTGAGAATTGCAAAAGCAGAAGAGGGTTACTCGGAGAAAAAAGCACTTGTGGGAATGATTGCTCCAGCAGATGTGAAAGCAGAGTGAAGCCCCCAACATGCCCACAACCTACTTTTAGGAATCTGGGAATATGCTTCCTGTATGGTAAGAGTCACTGGAGCTATCAAAACTCTTGGGAAGGGGAGAGTATCGTGAGTAAGCTGGGGGACCTGGTATAACCTCACAGGCACTTCTAAGCGGGAGGCAGGTCCTTAGACTCAACAGTAGGAAGAGGCAAGGAATGACGCCATCACTGTAGAAATCCAAGAGCCTTGTACAAGCTGAGAAGGTGAAGGACACATCCTCCCTCACAGAGAACAAACCTGCTGACACCTTGCTTTTCAGCCAGCAAGACCTCTGACTCCAGGACCATCAGGTAATAAATTGGTATCATTTTGAGCAACTAAATTGGGTATTTTGCTACAGAACCAATAAAAAAATGAACACAGTTGGTAGAGGAATAATAAAGCTGGGTGTGGTGGCACATGCCTGTAATCCAAGCACTAGGAAAAATGAGGCAACGTGGATCCCAAGTTCAAGGGCAGCCTGAGCAAATTAGTGAGACCCTGTCTCAAAAAGTAAAAAAGAGTTTGGAATATAACTCAGTGGTAGAGTGTTTCAATCTCTAGCACCAAAAAAAAAAAAAAAAAAAAGGGAAAGGGAGGGAGAGGAAAGGGGCAAGGACAGAGGTGGGGAGGAAGGGGAAAGAAAGAAAGATATAGAAGAGAAAGGTCAAGGTTGGAATGAATCAGATGTTAAGGTCAAAGACTGACAAATATCAGTTTACAACCCTCTATAGATACTATCTGTCTGGGAGCATTAGCCAAGGTCTTCACCCACAGTGTAATTAAGAGTATGGGAAGGGTTATGTAACTGAAGAGGTAAAAAAAGGTTGTCTAGGACTATTGATAAAGTTACTTGGGTATGACTTGCAAAGTTAGAAGCCTATAGACACTATCAAGTAAAAACCAAAGAGCCTGAAGGTAATCAGCACAGGGTGACATCACAAGAGCTAACAGAAGAAAGAACACCATGGACAGTGTCAGAGGCTGCTAGAGGACAAGGCAGGAATTTAACCCATCCACTCAACTTGCTGAGTGAGAGACAGCAAAGAGAGCTAGAGGGAAATAGCTCCAAAATCTCCAGCACTGATGGAAGGGAAAAGAAAGGAAAAGGAGAGAGAAGGAAGAGGAAGGAGAAGGGAAGGGAAAGGGATGGGAAGGGAAAGGGATGGGAAGGGAAGGGAAGGGAAGGGAAGGAAAGGAAAGGAAAGGAAAGGAAAAGAAAGGGAAGGGAAGGGAAGGGAAGGGAAGGGAAGGAAAGGAAAGGAAAGGAAAGGAAAGGAAAGGAAAGGAAAGGAAAGGAAAGGAAAGGAAAGGAAAGGAAAGGAAAGGA